GGATATAGAGCCGCCCCTGCAAATTGGGTCATTTGTAGGGACGGCTGATAACACCAGCCGCCCCTATAAATCCATTTGTAAGGGCGGCTCATGTGGCAACTATTTGTAGGGGTACAAAGAAAAGGAGGCGTTGCCACGAATCATTTATGTAGTAGTGGGAGACTTTAATTTCTAGGGAAAGATGGACCCATGTTGTTGATAAGTTTAGGGCTTGAGGCTGGTTCTAACCAATTGATATGCTAGCTTCTCCGAGCACGCAGCTGGTGCTCACGCGCTAAGATGCATGGTGGTTTGTTAGGTTGACAGCGATAGAAGTGCTAGCAGCCTTCATGATGGTTCTTATGGAGTACAGTGTTTCTATTCTAACAAACTTCTATATAAGAAACAATCATATAGCAACAATATTAGTTAGGTTTCCTACTATGAAAATTGCCACAAGTTAATAACTTTCCAACTCAGCATAGTAACTTGTATTTTTGGCAAATATAATAGTAATTATTATTGAGTTTCTCAACTCCGATCCACACACGGTTGAAAATCTTTTCTCCCACATCTAATTTTTTGAGTAAAAGCTAAACTTCACTAGAGTGATTCATGGCTTCCTCACCTCTCACTCAGATTTTTTTCCCAATCCAAGGATGCCACATTGTTTTCTTCCCCAATTCCACCAAGGTCAGGGTTAGGGTTTAGGGGTTCAGGAGCTTAGAAGGGTTGCCGGGGGGGGAGAAGGTCGGGCCAGCACTAGTGGCAGGCGTGGGGCGAGGCGGCAGTGACACCGCCATCCGAGTAGTGGAGGAAGGAGGGGTGGGGCAAGGGTGGGGGCACGACGGTGATAGCCTAGTGTCCTCCACCGGATAGCATGGCGCTGCGGTCGTAAGCAGCGGTGGAGACGGTCAAGCCCGCTGGAACTTGACAGGAGGCGGTGCTAGCGGGGTAGCTCAGCTGAGATAAAGAAGATGGCAAGGAAGAGGCACATTTGATGGACTTTAGAGCTGTACCGTGGTGGACGGCAGAGCGATGGGGGTGACCGATGTGTCGGGGAGTCGGGGAATCATGGTCACACACTTGCATCTGTGTGGGTACAAGTCTCACCTCGATCTCTATATATACCAAATATTCTCTATAGGCCCACGTAGGGCCTCGTTGGCTTATTTTCATTAGATTAGTCTGTATCTAGATTTACGTAGTGCAGTTTTCCCATATTTTATTGTGTACACTGGCTCTTACGAGCTTTGCACAGTGCTCAAAGTATGTCTAATATACCATTCACTAGTATGCCAAATTTGATCATACTATGTAATGCAGATTTGCACAGAGTAATGATGAACACAATAAATATTCTAACATCCCATGCCTCTACATGGAGTTAACTACATGAAACAACGTAAAACTACCATAGTTTCTATGGACATTAATTGTACTGCCACCTAAGAGTTTTGCTGATGTGGCAGGGTAGTTATTGAAGAGAGAACAAAAATCATAGAAACCGGGTCTAAGTTAGAAACCATGTCTACATGAGAATTGAGACATGAAGGGATGTGATTGGTAGAGAATAGAGAGAGAATGTATGTGATTAGATAAAAAATTATTCTATAGAAACTATGCATTAGGACCATAGTTTCTATATGTAGTGTCTTTGAAAATTAATAGGTATAGAATAGTTTTTAGCATTGGAACTACCCTAAGCAATGCAACCAGATGTAGTTCTGTGCTACATAAGATTGAATGCTAAGACCAATGCAAACAACCAATCACATGTGTGTGTTGTGTATTGAGCTGCCATATCCACAAAAGTTCATTTTTATTACTTGATGTTTTCACACATCAAAAACCTTATTCAAGCAATTCGGAGATCAAAGTCTGAGGAAAATTCAGAGAGAAAAAATATATGACCAATCTAAGAAAAACTAGATGGATCTTCATAAATATAAAAATCAGTACATAAATTCGAGTACGAAGAGAATTTTAAACTGGACGCATGGTTAGGTGCCCAGGCCACACCTCTAGAATCTAAGATGATGTAACGAACGTGCAGAGATCATAATACACTCCACCCCAACCCTCCGGGTTGTTATTCCTCTTCAGGTGAGGTCCTCTTCGGGTGATGTCCAGACTGACTGATGGCATGCAAGTTGTTGGGTACCGGCCAGTTGGTTATCATTAGGTCTAGTCTATTTGCATTGGACAGCTCATGCATACGACGCAAGGAGAGGTGCATGGGTGTCCATTTGAGCTTTGCATTGCAGGGTTTGGCTGGAAGGAATCCATCGGACGCATGTTCCACTAACAGGAAGGTGCCGAAATGCTTGTTTGGCATATGATTCGGCGACTGAATTTCTTTGATAGCCTGAACCTGCCACTGTTGGTTTGTTGGAATCTGCAGTGCGTTCCAGGATTGTGCAGCATGAGGACAGCCAAACAGTATATGTGCCGGGGTCTCGTCCGACGCGTTGCACACATCACAAATCGAGTTCTCCACTATACCTTTCCTCTGCAAGTTTGATTTGCATTGTATCCGACCCTGGGACAATAACCAGGCGAAAAATTTGACACGCGGTGGTGACTTGTTGCTCCATACAAATTTTGCCCAGGCATTAGGGCTGGAGTTCGCTGTTTTGAGGGCTCTGTAAATTAGCGAACTATCCAAGTCTCCATTCTTTTTGAGAAACATACTCCTCCGTTGGTCATTTCCTGGGTTTAGTGTGTGTTGTCCCATAATCTCAGTTACCTTAAGGAGTTGTGCATGGGCCACTGCTGATCGACGCCCTACCAACGATCTCTCCAGGTTCTGATCATACACTTGCCTCACTGTCAGTTCATTTCTGGTGCAGTGGACGTAAAGCTCCGGGAATCTTTCAGCTAGGGAGTCATCACCATCCCACACATGACACATCATGCCAGAAGGAAGTTGATTTCCCACACATCATACTTTAGCCGAGTGATTTGTCACCTGAACTCCTTCCACAGCAATGCTCCTGATGTTGTTTCTTCTCATTCTGGCAGTCGCATGAGCATGGAAGAAGGCTGTGTTGCTGTCCCCTTCACGAACGGCCTTGAATTTGGCGCGTTGTTTCCAGTATGCAGCTCTCTGCTTGAGTTCTAGTGCCAATCTGTCAGAGGCGCTGTGCCTGACCTGTATTTCATCCAAAGAGAGAGGGCGATCCTCTTCCAGTGTGGCCCATTAATGGTTGAACGAGAAGCCCCAGGTGAAGCCGAATAATCGTTCGCCGGTTGCCACCAGCCCAATACCCAACACATCTTCTTCCTCCTTTCTCCGACCGTTTGGAAGAGCTCCACCAAGCAGCCAAGCACAGCATCTTTTGCTCAAAAAAAAAAGAAAAAGAAAAACACAACATCGATTTCTCCATTTCGCTAATTTCTACATTTCACTACCTTAAGTGTTTTGCTTGAAATTGAGCTGCTAGATTTCTACAACCCTACAGGATACAACTCATGGATTTTTGCATCGTTTATGTCAGTCTGGAATTCTGAATAAGCATTGCAGCACTGAACATAGTATACCTATACCAACTACCAAGTTCTCTCACAAAAGTCGTCAGCTTCTCTATAGTTCAGCCTCCAAAATGTTTCTTTCTTGGAACATCTCCTGATCTATATAACCCCAGAAACCTCCCAGTGTCAATTTCTTCGATTTTCTTCAAAAGCACTTCTCTTTGCCTCTTGCATCCCCCTCTAGTATTATTTCCCCACCCCTAAGGAATTTCCTCAAAGTATTCCCTCTCTTTGTAAACTGGCAACCCCAGTAACTCATTCAAGTAGAGTTAAACCTATGTAAAAAACTTAAACATCTCTATTGATTTCATTAAAAGCAAGATTAAACCTTTGTGTCAATAGAAAAACAGAGAAAATACAGAATGCAGACATAAGCAGTCATCATATATTGAACAAAGACAACGTTCTACCTAGAGAACCCAAAATGACTTATATTTTTGTAAGAGATGGAGTAGTGTTTATTTCTCCCTTATTTTGAAGTATTAATTAGCAAACATGCCCCTGTCTTGCAACCGAATGTACAAGTTGTTGCGCGGTTACTTGCATAATTTACGACTTAGAGATTTATGCAACAATCGTATTGTCTATTCTAATAGGTCTTGGAATCGCCGTACTACTCTTATATGGGGTATGGGAGGCTTAGAAATTTATCAATGATCGAAATTTATCAATGATCACCCCTCTCTTCTAACTTATACCAACACATGAGAGAGTTGCGGACTATGGAAACACTTTGTTTTTTATTTATACAATCATACTCCTTCCCGTGCTTTGACAAGCTAACTCATACGATGCTCTTCTCCTATTTGTGATAAGCTCGGCAATGAGAACATGCGGTGGGCGCGGTTGTTTTTCTGTATTACCTTGTGTGTAAGAGGGTTGCGGTGGATTAGTAGTCAGAGCTTTTGTGTTCTTGGGGGGATCTGTGCGTCGGTAAGGTATTTAGGCCTAGTTTTTCCGCCAATTCTATTCTAGTTAATTAAAACGCAGAGCTCTTGCTATTACGTTAAAAAAAAAAACTCATACGAATACAGAAAATGATTGAATGCGTCGGATCCCCATTAGATGGTTGTGAGCGATAAAGGACCAAGAAACCTAGCTCATAATGTTTATTCTCCCTTTGGATTATTAATTCATTTGGATATTTTTAAATTCTCCCAATGAAGGACAATATAAGTGTATGCAGAGTAGTATCCAGAGTAGTATATATACACTGATACACATGAATGCACAAGCTCTGTTTCTAGCTTGCAGCAGAACAGGCAGATCGAAGGAATTAGAAGTCATAAAGAACACAGTACGGTTTCAGCACGAAATCAACTGTAGAAGCATAAGAGTTCATTCAATTTCCAAACAGTTCACATTGTGTCTACTCAAGAGGAAGACATAAGACGAGATACAATTATTTTCTTTTAGAGAGGCAAGTACTACTTAGAACGAGAGCAAAAAACCAGAAACCATATTAAAAGTAGCTACACTTGAGACGATCAATCAAAGACGACGAGCTTCTGGTACTCCGGCCCGGAGATGGCCTTGTCCATGATGTCCCTCGGCGTCACGATTCCGTCGCCATCAAGGAACAACTTCACCATGTTCTTGGAGAAGCCGCTCACCAGCGCCACCCCCTTCTGCAATGCTGTCACAGGCACAGAATCGGAGTCCCTCAGGTTCCAGAAGACAACCTCCGGCACCACCGCACCGTACCCGGCCTCCGTGAACTTCCTCGTGATCGCCTCGTAGTCTGTCTCCCACGGCCTCGACGATGCGATGTCGAACTCCATGTCGCTGAACACGAAGACCCTCTTCACCATCTGCTCCGGGGTAAGCTTGCCAGCGACCACAATGTGGAGGAGCTTGTCGAACACGGCCTGGAAGTCTGTGTTCATGTTCCACTCCATGCGACGGATGAAGTTGGTCTTCTCCATCAGGGTCCCGTCAGGGATCTGGTGCAGCTGAGGCCGCGAGCTGAAGGTGATGACGCGGTGGTGCCACGGCTCGCTGCTGAGCTCGGTGACGAGGAGGCCGAGCGAGACGCAGACGTCCATGGGGAGGCCGTCCATGCTGCCCGACACGTCGCACACGGCGATGCAATTGTTGAGCTTGCCAAGCGCCCACAGGTCGGTGACCATGCGCTCCCACTGCAGGTCGGCGACGCCGTCGCTGTCGATGGACACCAGGATCTCGTGGGGTAGGAGGGCGCCCGCCGCGATCTTCGCCTTGCCGGACTTGACGTCGGCGAGGTAGCTCTCGAAGCGCTCCTTGTCGCGTTTGACGAAGAGGTCCTTATAGTTCTTCATGGCCACGGACGCCACGCGCTTGTAGACCACGTGTCCCCCCACGCCTTCGCCGAGATGAAGATCTCGGGGAGCTTGAGGGCACGGCGAAGGGGCACGAGCGCCTTGTGGAGACGTTCGCGCACTCGGTAGGCGTAGTACGCGTCCTCCAAGTCCTCGGGGAGGTCAGGCGCCGAACCCTTGGGGAAGAGGCGGCGCGCGATGGCCTCGCAGAGGAGCGTGGAGCGGTCGTAGCAGCTATCTAGCGACGGGCACCACTTCGCGGCAAGCGAGATGTCGCTGAGCTTGCCGTCGGCGAGCTTCTTCAAGTCCTCGGCGAGGAGCTTGGCGAACAGATCCGCCGTGCAGTCGTACGTGCAGGAGCCGGTACTTGGGGTCACGGGCGTACCGGTCGACGGCTCTTGCCGCGGCTCCGCGCGCCTCTTCCTGTGCTCAACGGCCGCGTCGGCTGAAAGCTTGCGGTCGCGCTCGTTGGCGGCAGCGATGCGCGCCTCCCTTGTCTCGGCGCCGCGTGGCGCGTTCCCCTTGCGCCGTGGCCTCCTCTCTTGGCGGTTGTGGACGAAACGACGACGGCTGCCGTCCCAGGGCGGCGAGACGGGCCTTCTTCCCGGGGGTCCTCGTGGAGACACCACCGTGGATGATGCGGTGCAGCATCTCGGGGAGGTCCTTGAGGTAGCCGAACTCGGCGACGGGGCCCGCGTTGTGGGCGAGCGTCGTGGGGTGGCAGCCGTGCATCCAGAGCGCCGAGGCGTAGAACCCCTCGCGGTCCGACTTGCCGGTGCCGCGCACGCCGCGGAGGTTGCACGCGAGGCGGAGCGCCGTGTTGGGCTCGGCAGCCCACGCGTCGGCGAGGAGCGAGGCGACGGACGCGGCCGGAGTGCCCGGGACGACGTGGAAGAAGAAGTCGAGGCAGGGGTCCCCCGAGGAGACGAACGTTGGCGACGCGTTCTCCGTGCGCGCCTTCTTCGGCGCGGGCGTCGGCTTCGGAGTCGGCTTGTTGAACTCGGCGTCCATCAGGTCCAGGAACGCGTCGCCGGTGGTGGGTATGGCTGCGGCCGCCTTCGCCGCCACCGCCGCCGCACTCGCTGCCGCGGCGCGGAGGCTCTCCGCTGGTGGGCCGAGGAGTAGGACACGGCATTCCGGCACGCCGGCGTCGCCATTGGGTGGTTGGCTGGTAGCTAGGGTTTGAGCACTGGGTGTTGGGAGATCTTCTTTTGGTCGATGACGGTACTCGTGATTTTCGTGATGATCTGGTAGATGGAACGGAAGGGGATGGATTTATTTAAAAACTATAGCCATCCATTTGAATAGATCGGATAGCTAGGTTATGCGGAGGACTTAAGTCGTCGGCCGAAATCTGAAACACGTGGGTTCCGAACCAAACATATATAAGCAAAGAATTAGTTTTAAAATAAATTTAAAGGGTAGAACGGTACTTTCGCTGCCCATCCCTGTTCAATCTCTATCTCCGCTCAATACGCGCTCCGCGCCGGTCTTCCACTCGCCGCAACGCGCCGCCCACCGCCCACCGCCCAGGGAGTTGAGCCGTCCTGCACTCGTGGCCGCCGCCGGAGGATCTGAGCCGTCCTGTGCCCGCAGCCCAGAACAGACGCCAGGGCGCTGTCCAACAGTGCCGACCTCGGAACACCGTCGTCGTCGAGGAGCACTGCACAGACCTGCATCCTCCGTAGAGACTCCGTGGAGCTTTGCAGCTGCAGGCTTCAGCACGTCATCAAGGAGAGCCACCCTGGGAGTTGCCTCACCAACTTGCAACAGGTTCAAAACAGAACCCTTCCTAGCTTCCTTTCAGATTGTGGCGACGCGCGAGAGAGCTTGGCGCGGGAGGCCTATGGCGGCGCGACGTGATGCGAGATGCTGGCGGCGGTGTGACATTGGAGGCCGACGGAGGATCGTCGTTGTTGCAGGCCCTATCACCCTACGGAGGCGCGTGGTGGTGAGGGCGGCGGCCACGCGATTGGCGCCAACCCAGAGAGGCAGCAAGGCGTGCGACGAGGTGGTGAGGCGGCGAGCCGGTGACCTGGAGGCAGCGACACAGAGAGCAGCGAGATCCCGCGACGCAGGCAGCAGCGACTCCATCCCGTTCGTGGAATTGGGTTAGGGAGTCAAGTACTAAACTACCCTTAAGTACAAATAATTAATTTTCTTAATTAATAGGTGCGGCAGATAATTTCCAAGTGAGGAATCACCGGTTTCTCCCAAGCACTGTAATAAAGCTCTTTATTTAGAGGTCAGGTGAGTCGGTGGATTGAGGGCCAAGTCGGTGCTTTGAACCGACTCTGTTGTTCCGGCTTCCATGTATGCTATTTTTCCTTATTTCAATTCATCATCAACTGATTAGTACCGACTCTATTGTTCGGTTGGTCCGGCTTCCATGTATGCTATTTTTCCTTATTTCATTCAACTCATCATCAACTGACTTGGTACCGACTCTAGCTTGCAAAGTTGCAATGTGCCTATATAAAGGTGTTTAAAGTTGCAAATAATCAATTTCTAGTATCACCTTTAGTTAAACTAAATTAAGTTTGAGAAACTTCGTAATAAAATGTAACAATATCCGTGAGACCAAATATGTATATTGCAAAAATATATTTCATGATAACGTGATCATACTAGTTTTGTGTCATAAATATTGATACTCTTTTCTATTTCTATAAATTTAGTTACACTTTTAGATAGTTTGACTTAGGACAGCAAAAAGAAGAAGAAAACTCTAGGCCTCACTCTATCTGAGGACAAATTTGCTATATTAAAAATTCGTCGAACTCTTGACAGTCAAATGTATAAGTGGCATGGTTTTCTCTTCTCTCTACCTTGTCATTTGATCATCCTCAGCACGTCGTACATGGTGGGTGTGATTTTATTTTTATGAAGCCACAACTAGAGAGAGTTAAAAGTTAAGATTCGTACCTATTTTGTTCGATTGATATAATTATTGATTTAGCGAGTCGTTTTTCTACCATTTTCAGCTATCAACCTGACAGGAACACTGTTAAGCATGATAGTCGTTTTTCTAGTTTCCAGACTAATCAGCAACGCACAGACATTTTGTAATTTCTGTAAAAAGGAAAAAAATACCAATGTAATTTGCTCCACTTCTAACAAAGACAAAAAGGAAAGAACACTACCAGTATGTGATTACTCCATATTTATGACAGGGCGATCCTGCAAAATAGTGTGATATGCTATCAAGCATAGTCCCTCTACTGTACAACAAACAGTCAAACACCAATTAATAATCTTAAAAACGTCAAAAGTTTACATTTGTTATTCTGTACTTTATGAAATTATTATTATTCCAACAAATATAATATAATATAATATTAGATTTGTGTTTCAGTACTAATTTTCTAGCTATAAGTGATGGTGAAAAATAATGGTCAAAATATAATGTTTCAGAAACAGAATTGGATAACAATTTCAAAATGCACAGCAACGAAGTCATTTTTTTTAGCATAACAGCAACGAAGTCATAGCAGGAAGATAATACGCACAATGCTCTTCTTACAGAATTGCAGAGGACAAATTTAACTACTTGAAATTTCTGAATCAATATAGAGAACACAAGTTCCAGCACGAAATCAATAAAAACTCCATTTCCAAACAGTCCATAGTTTCTCCAATTTTATTGTACGTACCACTGACTAAAACCAAGAGACAAACTAGAGAAAACTGGACGTAGGACTGACTAAAACCAAGAGAGACAAGTTCTTTCAGTGAGGTAGCAGCAAGTTCATATAGAACGACACAAAGAACAAAAACTTGCAACCCTTCAGCCCATCAATCGAAGACGACGAGCTTCTCGTACTCCGGCCAAGAGATGGCCTTATCCATCACTTCCCTCGGTGTCAGGATCTTGTCTGGCACGACCTCCTCACCATCAAGGAACAGCTTAACCATGTTCTTAGAGTAGCCGCTCACCAGCGCCACCCCCTTCTGCTCTGAGGTCACAGGCACGGACCTTGAGTTGCGCAGGTTCCAGAACACTATCTGCGGGATTGCTGCGCCGTACCCGGCCTCCGTGAACTTCCTCGTGATCGCCTCGTAGTCTGTCTCCCATGGCCTCAACGACGCTTGATCGAACTCCATCACTCCATGTAGCTGAACACGAACACCTTCTTCACCATCTGCTCCGGAGACAGCTTGCCAGCGACAGCAACGCTGAGGAGTTTGTCGAACACGGCCTGGAAGCCGGTGTTCATGTTCCAGTCCATCCGACGGATAAACTCTGTCTTCTCGAAGAGGGACTCGCCGGTGACCTGGTGAAGCTGAGGCCACCTGCTGAAGGTGATGAGCCGGTGGTGCCAAGGCTCGTCGCTTAGCTCGGAGATGAGGAGGCCGAGCGCGATGCTGACGTCCATGGGGGGAGGCCAGACATGCTGCCCGACACGTCGCTGATGGCTATGCAGTTGTTGAGCTTGCCGAGTGCCCGCATATCAGACACCATGCGATCCCACTGCAGGTCGGCGACCTCGGCGTCGTACCTAGCGGACGCCAGGATCTCGTGGGGAAGCAGGGTACCAGCCGCCATCTTCACTTTGCCGGTCTTAACGTCGGCGTCGGCCACGCGCGGGTAAACCACGTTCCCTCACGCCTTCTCCGAGATGAAGATCTCGGGGACCTTGAGGGCGCGATGCAGGGGCACGAGCGCCTTCTTGCGGAGAAGTTCGCGCACGCGGTAGGAGTAGTGCTCGTCCTTCAAGTCCTCGGGGAGCTCAGGAGACGAGCCCTTAGGGAAGAGGCATCGTCCGATGGCCTCGCAGAGGAGCGTGGAGCGGTCATAGCAGGTGTCAATCGAAGGGCACCATTTCGCGGCGAGCGAGAGCTCGTAGATCTTCCCTTCGGCGAGTTTCTTCATGTCCTTAGCGAGGAGGTCGGCGAACAGATCCGCCGTGCAGTCGTGCAAGAGCCGGTAGGTTGGGTCACGGGCGTACCTGTCGACGGCACTCGCTGCGGCCTCCGCGCGCCTCTTCCTCCGCTCTACGGCAGCCTCAGCGGCGACCTTCCGATCACGCTCGTTGGCGGCAGCGATGCGCGCCGCCCTCGTGGTCCAGGGGCGTGGTGACTCCTTCCGCCACGTGCGAGTCGAACTGCGGCCGCCCCGGCCAGCCCGGAATCCGCGACTGCGGCGAGCGACGAAGCCTCGTGAAGCGGCGAGGCGGGCCTGCTTGCCCGGGGTCCTCGTCGATTTGCCGCCGTGGATGATACGGTGGAGGATCTCGGGAAGGTCCTTGAGGTAGCCGAACTCCGCGACGGGACCCGCGTTGAGGGCGAGCCTGGCGAGGTGGCACCCGTGCATCCAGAGCGCGGCGGCGCCCCTCGCGGTCGGACTTGCCGGTCCCGCGCACGGCGCGGAGGTTGCACGCGAGGCGTAGCGCCCACCAGTACAGAAACGATTTTTTTATCCACTTCAAAATTTAGCTTTAGTCTTGATATTTTTCGCTCTTGGGATTAGAGAAACCTTTAGTCTGAGTTGGTAGCTTCAACCGGGACTAAAGGTCCCTGTCTAACGGTTACTGCGGCAGGCTTTTACTGCAGGTGACCTTTAGTCCCGATTGGAGCTACCAACCGAGACTAAAAGTTAACTTTTACTTTCGGTTGGTCCCTCCAACTGGGAGTAAAAGTATACTCCCGGCCAGCAGTTCGTTCATCTTAATTAAACCCAAACCATCGACAGCAGCATCACTACAGCAGTACAGCGCGTCGCCCAGTTGCATTTGGGTCTCAGAGAATCTCACTCGCTGTACAAGTTGCATTTTCAATACATACGTACCCTCTGTCGTGACAGGCCAGCTCTAGTATATCTCCATCTCTTCTCACCGGACAGCACATTGCAACGTTTTATAAGCAATTGAAGATCACTGTTTCTGAACGTACCAGTATACGATACGGACCAGGACCAGCCATGGCAGGAGGATACTACTGTTGCTTCTGAACAACACCACAGAGGCCAGAGTCCAGAGTCCAGATGCCAGACCCACCCACCAGCAATCCAGCATCATGTGTCAGTCACCGGACGCATCTAGTGGGCCACAGAAGGTAAGAAAGCGGCCCATGATTTCCAAGTGAATGAATGTGGCCGGCCTATTACTGTATCGAGTCTGAGCCGAATGGTAAGGTGAGGAGTCGTTCGTTGCGCTGCTGCTACGAGGAGATAGCACCACATCGGTAGCGTAAAGAGGAGGCGGAGCACAGACTGGCTACATAACAAGGGCCAGGTGCACCGGTTCAAGGCGCGCGGCTGCGTGGTGAGCAGAAAGCGAATTATTCTTTCGCCTTTTACTAAAGAATACCGTGTGCACGCCACAATAAGCAGCATACACTAATTTTTGGAGGGAGCCATCTTTATAAGGAGGTGCCCAACAAATTAAATTCAAAACAAAATATTTATATTATTAAATTAATAAATATGTTTAGTAAATTCAAAGTTATCTTTAAATATGTTAATAAATTCAAAATTTTGTATTAAATATTATTAGCAGCGTAGAATGCGTATTCGAAAACCAAAATGAATCATCAATTGAAAAAAGAAAAAGAAAAAAAAAAATCTTTAGTCCCGGTTGGTGGCCAGGCCGAGAGGCCTCTTTAGCCCTACCAATCGGGACTAAAGGTCCCGGGCGCGAAACCGGGACTGAAGGAGGGGTCCTTTAGTCCCGGATTCGTGCTCCCGGCTAAAAAACCGGGACTTAAGGGGTTTCCCAACCGGGAGTACAGCTTGTTTCTGTACTAGTGGCCGTGTTTGGCTCTGCAGCCCACGCGTCAGCGAGGAGAGAGGTGACGGTCGACGAAGGGATCCCGGGAACGACGTGGAAGAAGTTGAGGCAGGCGTCCCCCGAGGACGCGAACATTGGCGACGCGTTCTCCGTGAGCGTCTTCGCCGGCGGCGCCTTAGTCGCTTTGTTGAAGTTGGCGTCGAGCAGATCCAGGAACACGTCATCGGTCGCGCGCGCTGCCGCCTTTGCCGCCGTGCGGAGGCTCTCCCCTGGTGGGCCGAGGAGGGTGTAGGACCGGCAAGCCGCTGCCATTGGTTTTCGTTTAGGGTTTAGGCTTCGGTTTCGGGGTTGATCTGGGGTTTGGGGTGCAAACGGGAAACGGCGTTGATGATGGCGTGAAAGTGGGAGGGGATTATCAAGTCGAGGGTGAGGCAGTTGCTTGCGTGAGAGCGAAGTCAGCGCACTCAACCGATCTTGTGGCTATTGCTCCCGGAATGCTAGGATAATTAACCAAATTTAATTTAATTTAGCAAAATACTCTTTTTATTCTAAATTAAATCAACTTCTATAGTTGATCTAAGTGCAACTATTTTAAGTTTTCTCAAAAAAGACTACTTTAAGTTTAATCAATTTAATAGAAAATAGCATAAATATTTTTTTTGATGTCAACATTACAAATATTTAGGCCTGCTTGGTAGAGAGCGTCAGCAAAACGGCTCTAGCTATAACTTCCTCAATGAAACCGTTTTCTGACTCTAGCTTCACTAGTCACTAGTTACTAGTAAGAAAAATATTTGGTAAAACAGTTTCACATAAAATGTCTATAATATCTTTCACTTCTTTTATTTTTCCTTCTTTTACTAATTTCTCCTTTAACCTTTTTTTATTTTATTTTTCTCTAGTTTGCCTTATCTCTTCCTCTCCCCCTTTCCTATCTCTGCCTTACTCGCCACCACGATTTCTCCCGCGCCTCGCCCCAATCGTCACCTGCACAAGCTCCCCTCCCCCTACACCCCACCCCACCTTTGCCTCGCCCAATGATGACGTTCCAAGTCTTCACCAGACTGTCATCATCCACTTGCGCAAGCCATATAGGGGCATTTCGGGATGCATGCAAGGAAGAGTGGAGGGTGAAGCTAGATTTTTCCAACTTCTCGGTCTCGTTTGGTCGAGCTCATACCGGCTCCAACTTCTCTAACACACGTATTGTTCACATGTTCATATGAGCTTCTTTTCTCTCTCCTCTCTCCTTCTCTCACAAATCCGGTGACGAGATCCTAACATATGGGTATGTTAAGCCTCGGGATCTATGGTTCTAGATTAAAGAGACCCCCGACCGATCCCTCCAGGATCGCCCGGGGGCTCGGGGGCTATACCCAACGGGTACGCTCGCGCGCACCCTCAAACTAAGGAACTTGCTCGAGCTCGAGCATGCCAGGGCCTCTGCTCAGGGCTCGGGGGCTCACCCAAGCCTCAGGCTCCCGATCGATGGGAAACCTGAGCCCGGCCCTCGGCTGCTGCTCGGCCTACGACGCCAGCCAAGGCCCGGGCATAAGAAGACACGCCCTGAGACATCGAGGCTCGGGGGCTCCTCGACGCAGCACCTTGGGTGCGGCCTTGCCGGCTGCTCCCCCGACAGGGTCACGCACAGGGCGTGACACAAGAAGACAAGTTCCCCCTCGGCCTCCAGGGGCTCATGGGCTCTTGGGCCCGCACATCAGCCCCTGGAGCCGACCTCTTTTGCCACCAAGAAGACTCCAGAAGGTCCACCTGGGGAGGCCGGTCCAAGCCGACAGAGCCTGACACGCAGAGTGTTAGAACAGAGCAGCTGGACGACGCCCAAGGCTTCTTCGGCTCCACGACATCGCCACGGTCTACATAGCGCCGCTGCAAGACTCTCCTGGACTCCGGCACATATAAACCATAGGCTCAACTCCCAAACCGACATGTACCTGACCTATCTCGATATATAAGCGGTAAGGTTGGATCCTAGAGGGAGAAGGACGATCCCAGACAGATCATTCCGTTCCTCATTCATCCGCTCCTGCTCGGCACCGAGAGCAGAGCAACCCAGAGAGAGGGGCACCGAGAGCTCCTCCACCGCACCCATCGTCTTCCTCCTTTCCGATGAGGGGAAGACTCCACCGACGGCGAGGCAACCTCAGGATTAGCACCGAGCTAACCCCCTACCAAATCTCTTCCTTCCTCCTGTACACTCTGTTGTAACCTTCGATTTTGGGTGCTCTTGAATATAAGGATCATCAGCTGCTGGACGTAGGGCATCGATCGGCCCGAACCAAGATAAACCGTTGCATCCTCTATGCGATTCTTGTGTTCTTGAGTCCACCGGACCGGAGATAAACACTCTGACACCAACTCGAGCAACAATGCTTGTCGCGGTTCCGACCCCACGACGGCCGATGCGTCAGAGAAGCTAGAGCCGGCCGGCGGAAGGTCTACCAAAGATGCTGGAGCCGGTGCCTTCCTCTCCTCCCTGCCACTCTAGTCAGCGCAATTCAAGGAGCTCTGGACGTATATGCTTTTATAATATACTTATATGCTTTTATAATATACTATTTGAATAGATTTTGTCACTATTTTCTATAAAATTTATAAAACTTGAAATAGTTTTGACTTGCGGATAGAGAAATTGCTGTCTTGAGGACAGTCTAGCCTTCTTGGCGTCAATGAATGTTGAGGACTACTGATGCGCCTTCTTCGCGTCAGTAATGGCAACTTACTGACGCCTGGCGTGTAATGTTTAACGTATAACGACAACTTACTGACATCTGGCGTGGAATGTTTAACGCCGGTCGCCGATTGACATCACCGGTGTGCCGTTGCCAACCTTTCAAAGCAAATGCAATTTACAGCTCCGATGTATTTCAAATAGCATGCTATTCGCAACAAATAAACATGGAAACTAGAACGTCGTCCTAAATGGATAATCCAAAACTATTAGTTTATAGGATTAGAAAATCTCAACAATTAGCAAGACCAAAATAAGGGAAAGGTACTACGATTATTTCAGGAAGAGATCAGAACATCAATGAACCGGTGTAGTCTGTCTGATTCATGTGCCTCTTTTCAAAACTTGCTGTCAACAGCAACCGCAGTTCTCGTATACATTTCTCTTTGACTATTGTGTATTTTACACATTTATTACAGGGTGATGCCGCAACATTATGCGATCATCAACTACAAAGTCCTAAGACAACAAAACATGATGGTACAACGTACACGTATATACAGCGGAACTTTGTGTTCCTCTGTCGTCTATGATCAATGAGGTCAGCACGATCAGGACTACTACCAGTCAGTATTCAGAAGTTGGTTCTGGCATGTCATAATTTACCTTTGCACTCCAGGGCGGACGGAGTATACCATGAGTTCTCATGGCAACCAATGACCGACCTGAACATCCAAGTAGATTCTGCATCAACCTAAAAATTCAGCAGGAACTACTTTAGGCTTGTTCATTTCAAATTCCTTGGAACCACTTGGCTTGGTCTGGAGCGCAGATCATTGATTGACTCTTGTTTCTTGCTTATGCTAAAAGCCCTCCGAGAATTAGTTCGGTATCAACTCCTATATATGGCTCAAGCATAGAATGATTTCACGACCTGGCTACTCCAAACATCCAAGGACACTGAACTTCTCACCATGTTTCATGTGCAGAACTTCCCATGTTAAGCTTAGTTAAAGAAGTATGTCGAAGTCAGAACTTCCCTCACATCAAAGTTACCTTGCGGTGGGCAGGGTGGAAATTCTAGTGTCGGGAATGCCGTTTGGAACTCCTCCAGCAGCTGAATCACCAAACATATGCAAAATGCATATAAATAAAACATTAAGCATAGGCAATTATTGTTGTACAGTTGTAGAATGAAGTAACTTTAAGAATATGTGGAGACAATAGTTCCGGTGGCATACATTTTCAAGAATCGGCATGCTGTAAAGCTCCACAAATTGTTGTCTCAATATCTGATTCATTTGATCAACATCACACGCATGCACCCAAAATGAGTCATGAACCCCTGCATCCGAAGTATGTCGACAAAACACAATATTAGTAACAAAATTGAACATAAATCGAAGATAGAAAATGCAAATATGTTTCTACTTCATACAGGAAGCCAGGTGTAGATACGAGCTCTTAAGGAAGAGATGCTTGTGGACAATTGGGCAAACATCAGAAAAAGCAATGGCTCTCAAGTCAGAATTCAGAATAGATTCAACATGAGACCTTTTCAATTGGTCATTTGGCAATGCAGCACTGCCCAGGATTCATTGCACATGGAAGCTACATAAAACGAACAACTAATAGTGAAATTTGCAGCTTCACTGCTTCAGAGCCATCAGGTTTTGACGGTAAGTTGTTTCAAGACTTCATGCTATGGGGAAACCTAACAAGCATTAAAAAACAACTCCATCTGAAATTTAGGGCCTAAAACGGTTTCAGCAGTTTTTGGCGGTTCTAAGAACTATGCTCCTGCTCTCGTCTGCCCCATGCTAAATGCAGCAGCAGAGCTAGCGCCTAACACAGCAGAAGTGTGACATCAAGAACACAAGGTAATCTTTTGATTGATATCAAGCCAGATGATTAGTCGAACCATATAATGGACTTCTGATGCAGCGTACTGCTCATTATATGTGCCTTGCAACAAGAGATAGTCGATCCAACTAAGAAACGAACCTGCAAAATGAAGACCAGCCTCCTTGCAAGCAATCGCTGTCATCATCATATGTGAACTATCCAGTGAGTGCACAAAATTCGGTGGAAAAGCTGCCTTTTGCCTTTGGATTGCAATCTGAAATTATGTCAATTAATTAGCTATAAGAATGAAAAAACAGGAAAAAGTTTTTGAAATAGCTTAACTCACCGCATCACCCTCCCGCCGTAAAGCCAGACATTGCAAAGAAGTTCGTATCTGTATCATAGGTGAAGCAAATAGTGTTCAAAAAATGAAAATGTATTAACTAAAAAGATAGCTGTGGTTAGAGGGGAAAGGTTAAATCTAGTGTCCCCAAACCTTGTCAAACTATAATAATATCAAATCATGTACTCCCTCTGCCCCAAAAAGAATGCCATTCTCAGTTTACAAGGAGTCGATCCATCTCAGCTTTGACCAATTATATACAAAGAGAAGTATTAATATATATTTTTCTTAAACACGCAATAGAGTTGTGTATCACACTTAGGTTCCTAACTAAAACATGTGCGCCACAAAAACACATAGACCGACCACAACCTCTAACACCAACAAATTAACTTTCAGGAAGCGCTAGGGCAAGGAGGTGAGTAATACCTCGCACCCCAGCCAAATCCCAAAAAGTGTAACTCCCCTACAGCTAACATCAACGCATGAGCAACACTAGGAGAAAAAGAAGTATTAATATTTATAATGCGTAATAAGTATTAACTCCGCCTATGGTGGGGCGCCTTTGGTGTCCCAGCATAGCAGGTCCCAAGCCCTGGTAAAGGAGGAGGGTTGTGTTAGGTGCGGCGAGCCAATGTAAAAACTTAGCCATTTTAATGGAGATGAAACCCAAAAGAATCATGTTGGGGCGTAACCCTCTTAGCGACGCGCCATGTCGGAACCCGGGTATAGTGTTAAATGAGCAAGGGCCGGGTCGTCACCCCTGTGACGCGCCGTGTCGCGATCTGGACACGATGTCAAGTGAGCAAGGATCGGGTCGTCGCATCCTTAGTGGCGCGCCACATCGGCGCCCGGGTGTGGTGCAAAATGAGCAAGGGTCTTCACACCTACCTCGGCGGGTGCGAAGGGTAAGGAAGCTAGTCGAGCCAACTAGGATCCATTTAGGTAGCTGGAATGTAGGGTCCCTTACAGGTAAGTTAAGAGAGTTAGTGGACACAGCGGTTAGGCGGCAGAAGACGAAGGAGGTGGACTATACTGGCTTAAGCTCTGGTACACAGGGACAACTTCAAATAAAAATGAAGTAGAAGTTTTGATTGATAAGAGCCTCAAGGATGGTATGGTGGAGGTGAGAAGGCAAGGGGATAGGATCATCTTAGTTAAACTTGTTATTAGTGATATGGTCTTAAACGTAATTAGTGCGTATGCCCCCCAAGTAGGCCATGATGAGAGTGCTAAGCGGCTTTTCTGGGAAGACTTAATCACTTGGTTAGAGCTGTACCTAGTAGCGAGAATCTCTTTATAGGAGGTGATATTAATGGCCATGTAGGTACATCAAGTGCAGGTTTCGAGGCGGTTCATGGGGGTTTCGGATATGGTAGTAGGAACCAGGAGGGAGTGGAAGTCTTAGACTTCGCCATAGCTTTTGATCTGATGATAGCTAACACTTTCTTCCGTAAGAGAGTCCCATTTAGTGACCTTTAGTAGCGGCCAATACTCTAGTCAAATCGACTTTGTCCTTACATGAAGGAGGGATAAACGAACATGTGTGGACTGTACGGTGATACCTAGAGAATGTGTGGTCGCTCAACACAAGCTGGTGGTGGCTGACTTACGCTTTCTGGTGCAAGTTCGTGGGAACAAACAAGCTAGGGTTGCTAGAACGAAGTGGTGGAAATTAGAAGGGGAGGCATCAAAGATCTTTAAGGAAAAGGTCATTGAAGAGGGCCCTTGGAATGATGAAGGCGATGCAAACAACATGTAGGAGAAGATGGCAACATGCGTTTGAAGGTTGCTTCAGAGGTGCTTGGAGTGACCAAAGGGAGCGGATGACGACTCGAAAGACACTTGGTGGTGGATTGAAGATGTGCAAAAGGCTATTAAGAAAAATGAGCGCTATAAGCGCTTGTATCATGACAGGTATGCAAACAACATAGAGAAGTACAAGGTGGCAAAGAAGACTGTAAAACGAGCGGTGAGTGAGGCAAAAGGGCGGGCCTATGAGAACCTTTACCGACGTTTGAGTACGAAGGAAGGAGAGAAACATTTATAGGATGGCTAGGGCTCGCGATAGGAAGACAAGGGACTTCAATCAAATCAAGTGCATAAAGGATGAGAGGGAGCAGCTTTTGGTGAAGGAGGATGAGATCAGACATAGATGGCAAGAGTATTTTGATAAATTGTTTAATGGTGAGAACGAGAACACCCGTTCAGCTGGATGACTCGTTTGATGACACTAACAGGCGCTTTGTGCGGAGGATTCAAGAATCGGAGGGTCAGAGAAGCCTTGAAAAGGATGAAAGGGGACAAAGCGATGGGTCCTGATGGTATCCCAATCAAGGTGTGGAGATGTCTCGGGGATATAGCTATAGTATGGCTAACAAGATGTTCAACAATATCTTTCGATCGAACAAGATGCCTGAGGAGCGGAGAAGAAGCATATTGGTACTAATCTACAAGAACAAGGGAGATATCCAAAGTTGTAGTAATTATCGGAGAATTAAGTTGATGAGCCACACTATGAAGTTATGGGAGAGAGTCATCGAGCAGCGCCTGCGAGGAACGACGCAGATATCAACAAACCAATTTGGTTTCGTGCTCGGAAGGTCAACCACAGAAGCAATCTTCTTAATAAGACAGGTTATGGAGCGGTTTAGAGAGCAGCAAAAGGACATCCACTTGGTTTTCATTGACTTGGAGAAGGCTTATGACAAGATACCAAGAAATATTATGTGGTGATCTTTGGACAAACATAAAGTCTCATCAAAGTACGTGACCCTCATCAAGGACATGTACAACAATGTTGTGACTGGTATTCGAACAAACGATGGTAACACAGATTACTTCCCGATTAAAATTGGACTTCATCAAGGGTCAGCCTTAAGCCCGTATCTCTTTGCCTTGGTAAAGGATGAGGTTACCAAGAACATACAAGGGAATATCCCTTGGTGTATGTTGTTCGCTGATGATGTAGTGTTAGTGGACAAAAGACAGGCGGGAGTAAATAAGAAACTAGAGTTATGGTGGCAGACCCTTGAGTCTAAATGTTCTAGATTGAGCAGAACTAAAACCGAATACATGAGATACGACTTTGGCGGAGTTGTACAGGAGGAGGAAGATGTGAGTTTGGAAGGTCAAGTGGTGCCTAAGAAGAATACCTTTCGGTATCTGGGATCGATGCTACAGAGAGATGGAGATATTGATGCGGACATTAGCCATAGAATCAAGGCAGGGTGGATCAAGTGGCGACAAGCTTCTGGCATTCTCTGTGACAAGAGGGTACCACAAAAGCTAAAAGGCAAGTTCTATAGAACGACGATTAGACCGGCTGTGTTGTATGGAGCAGAATATTGGCCTACAAAAATTCGACATGTTCAACAACTGAGTATTACAGAAATGCGTATGCTGCGATGGATTTGCGGTCACACAAGAATGGACCGAGTTCGGAACGATGATATACGTGATCGCTTAGAGGTAGCACCAATTGAAGAAAAGCTTGTCCAACATCAGTTGAGGTGGTTTGGCCATGTCCAAAGGAGACCTCCAGAGGCACCAGTGCATTGTGGAGTCCTAAGCCAAGCTAATAATATAAGGAGAGATAGAGGAAGACCGAAATTGACATGGGGGAGGCAATAAAAAGATATTTAAAAGCTTGGGATATACCTAGAGATCTATGTTTGAATAGGAGTACTTGGAAAGCAGCTATTGAAGTGCCTGAACCGTGACTTGGGGCTCTTGGTGGGTTTAACTCTAGCCTACCCCAACTTGCTTGGGACTGAAAGGCTATGTTGTTGTTGTAATGCGTAATAAGTATCATTATTACATATATAATGAAATACATTTTTATAGTAGACTTCTTTGGAGGTACAAATGTTGATACTACTTTTTATAAACATAGTCAAACTTAAGAAAGTGTGACTTAGTCCAAAATCTAGAATGACATTCTTTTTGGGACGGAGGGAGTAATGATTAATCAGGTTGTTCATAAGGTATTAAAAGGAATGGAACCGATCACCGAATATTTTTTCACTAATTCTCAAACACAGCTCGGGCGTCCTTATGCTGGGTACAACTTTTCGGAAGGAATATGATGCATCATGGTGTTGCAAAAATCCAGGTAATACTGCAAATTTAAAGAACAAAAAGACTGCTGAGTAGCTGACCATATAATTCTTATATTTCTTGTAGGGCTGAACAACTGGGAGACCAACAGGACTTGTCCACTTGACTGGTTGATTTTTTGAAGCAATCATCTGTACGGAATTGAATGCAATTATCAAATGCCTCACCAACCAAAAATTGCTGTGCCACAAGTGTCAAAAACTGGATGTCCATGTCAAGAACTTCTATAAAGAAAAACAAATGGAATCACTTCATATATATGAGAAAAGCTGGGAGTGTGAGTGTACCTTCGCACAATCACCAAGCCAGGCCATTATACCACGGGCAGATTGGAACATTTGTCCCAGTGCATCCAAAGTTACCTTCATCAGAAATTCATAGTCATATCATGCCTTTGCCTCTCTAAAGGTGTCAACCTGAAATCACATATACACCATAATACACTAAATACTACAAGTAAATCACTTACTCGAGTAGCGTAACATGATACATCATACAGCAATTTATCATCTGTGATCAGCCCTTTCTCTTGCAGTCTCTTTGTAATCTGCTGACGAGCACCAATGTATGTAACACCATAGACTGATGTCATGACTGTCTGCTTGACAAGCTTCCTATCCACCTGTAAGCTACCAATGCCCATGTCCCTCAACTGTTTTGTTTGATGACATAGAGTGTGCAAGAATATTTCTTACTAGAATTTAGGAATACAAAGGAAGGATGGGAGAGAAGGCTAACCTGATCAACTAAAACTCTTGCTAATGAAGCAGTTGGGTTAGTAGCAGGATCCTTCATCGAGTCTTCACGTACAGCATTCAATACCCTTCAGTCGATTTCACCAAAAATTATTATTAATTCATATAGTGGATACCTGCTGGAGTGAACCTAACACTAGGATAATATTTGTATAAAATTGATCATCTATAACTACAGAGTTGATCACCCAATAAAGAAGGTACACAGTTGACAAGTTGGACGTTTTGGACAAATTCTGAACACAAGCTATGCTGTTCCACCAATCAATGCATGAACATCAAGCTACTTAACTTTTTAAAGAGACACATATGTAAATTCAGGTATCCTTCCTTCTACAAAGTTAGCCAGAGCGTATGTACAGAATAAATTATTTTGGTATCTGCTCTTTAGAAAGGTAACTTTGTGTGAATTATGAAATGTAAAATTGTTCACTTTCACATGTGAATCATGTTTGTGAGCAGTTAATTTTTTTAAAAAAAATCCAGATAAGATACAGTAAGTTAAATACATTCAGTACAGAACTGAAATAAGAACAAAAATGTTTTGTAAGTTGTACATATTCAAAGTACATCAATAACCAATAAACAGGCGAAATTAACAAGCAACCACCCTGGACTGTAGTGCTTACAAGAGATGTGATAGGAGCAACAAGGGAACCAGCAAGAAGAAACCCACCTAGCAGCTATTTCTGAGTAGATATCTGCAGGTTTCTCTCCGGGAACAAGGTTGACAGCAACCGCGCCCATCTATAGCAGAGCATATATTAGTGTAAGAAACAACTTATCCATAGTGTATAACTGTATATCTGGTAATTGCACTTTAGATTCTAGAATTTCATGAAATCGCAAGAAAATGATAGCTTTGTAAGCTGAGGTTTCAAAGGTACAATCCAGAAAGTGTTTTCTGTTGCACATAGCAAGAACCAAGATATGATCATACTGGGGAAATGGATCCACACACTTCAAGGCTGACTCTAGCATATTGAATATCATCATCAATATATCAACCATGCACATATGAGGATTTTAAGGCAGTCGGTATGCTAATCAACTAACAGGATGACAACAACTTAGTGCTCTCACTTGAACAATGCTTGCGGAAATCCGACTACTTACTGCTTTCAAGAATTCTTAAAAGTTAACAGAAGATTCAATGCAATGCAACTATTTATAACTAAGAAAAATAAAGCCAAACTAATAGTGAAACTAAAAGTTAAGTCATTTTTTACTCCGATGATTTTCAGGATGCTGTTGGGGTAATCAGACTGTATGGCAATAGATAAGCACCAGGTGCTAATTCTACTCAAACCACATCATGAGGTGCGTAATAATAAAAGGATCAAAGGCTGAACAGAATTCTAAAGTTGAACACACTTACATAGTCCCTTCCAAGAGCGGCATAGTGTTGTAAACCATTGCATGAACCATCCTGACAACAAAAACAATGATAACTGACAAATTAGCAGTTTCATGGAAATGTAGGCTATGCAGAATGCTCAGAGTATCAACAAATGTGCTTTCTAGGCATATGACATTAACTATAAAATAGACTAGGGTATCCTTCGACTTATCCACATAAGTGATTAATTAATACCAAAATCCTAGATTGTGTGTCTCACTTCCGAAGCCAAGAAAAATAATAATATTGTGAAAGGCTAGTCCAAGAACATACAAAACAAATCAATACCTGATGAATAGGCAGGTGAGAGACAGCACGGCAAGGTGATGGACTTTTTAAGGCATCAGAAAGGTCCATGCATGCAGCTAAACACTGAAAAGGATCCTCAGCATTTGTCCACCAGCAGTTCCCATAAACAGGATTTGCTGCTGAATCAAATATATCAAGCAGTTGGTTCTCCACAAAAGCTAGCTTGCCCTCATGAGAAAGCTTTTCAACGCCTCCACCATATTTGTTAGCCAAATGTATCTTCAACCAGCACAACCCGGACTTTCCTAGTGGCCGCCCTTCAGCATACTCTAGAACACCCCGACAAAGATCTGAACCTAGGTGACTCAAATGAGGATGCATAGGGTATGCACGACCACGAAAATCTAAATTGTGAGCGTAATAAAATCCATCCTCCTCTCTCATTTTACAAGCAACCTGTTTACAGAAAAGGAGTAAGTTAGTTCCAGCAATGCGATAGACGATAGCATGTAAACTGCACCACAGTATCTCAGCAAGAATGACCAGTAATTATTTATACTGCATACCGAGAGTTTGAGCTCAGTGTCACATCTCTCAGCATGCAGTTCACGGTTAGTTTTCTTTGCCTTCTTTAAACTCCACTTCCATTTCTGGATTTCATCTGGGTCCTCTGATTCTGGTCGTTCAGGCAGAGGAATCTATAAACAAAAGAGAAGAATAAATAGACAGTAAGCGAGGAGAATGAACAGAATGGGAAAGAAAACAAAGTACAAATAATTTCAAGATCCAGAAATATTAATCATACGCATGAACTCACATTTGCCTTGTCCACCAGCCCGGCAATGCCTCCACCTCGACTCCAGATAGTCTCAACAACATCATGAACTCTTCTATTCACCCTCCATTTAGTACTCCCAAGGATATCTAATGCCTGGCAACATGCTAATACTTAAGCAAGCATGAAAAAATAATGGTCAAAGGGATATGATCATGTCAAATATCATGTGAAGCATGGAGTGCATCTATAGACCTGATGGTTTTATCTTTTGAACAAAATTAAAAAGGATTTGGTAAAGGTAACTATGGTTATCGTGGTTTAAATTAAAAGTTAAAACACCTCATATTGTCAGGCTTATATTCAGTAGAGCAACAGAAAACCCATGTGAAGTATTTTTTTTATGCCAAGGACAACAACAATAAGAAATATAAATGCACATTGTGGCATAGATGGGAGATCAGTAAACCTCAAAAACTTTTCGCAGCTGTTTTCTAGGAACACTATTAATGGCATCCTTTTGGTCCTTCACACCATGTGTCCTCATAATGTATGAGGGCAGAAAAAGGTGACCACCTTTATCATAACTGCAGCAAATTATGGTCAGCGTATTCAAATCACCAGCAACAAGAAGCAGTAAGTTCTATGAATCAATACAATCATACACAGTCTCAATAAGTCAATATATAAGGAACTTGCTGGAAAGGTACAAAAATTGAACACCAACATACCCTTTCCATTTCTTCGGAGGTACCAGCATAGGAAGGTAGGGTATATCAACATGCCTAGCCTGCAAGTTCGAATTAAAATAATCCTAAAACTCCCTTTATGCAAACAAATAAAAGGTGTCGAGCAGAAAAAGAAATTTGCAATTTGTCATCCCCACTTTTGACGTGTGAGACAATGCCCACAGAAAGGAAGGTGAGTAGAATTGTTCTCCATTTAATATTTTGGCTGTCATGATCAACAAAAATATTTTATATCTGAAAAACTGATGTGGTTGGCAGTGCAAAATAAACTTACAGTGCTTTCAAACCCCTCATGCACAAGATGGTCACACTCTATCACCCAATGTTTCTTCTTTAGCCTCCTGCAGGTTGAAGAGAAATATCACAAAAAAACTCTTCATACATCAGCACATGCCTAAACAAGCATAGGATGGTGATGTAACAAGGCATGCTAGTGCAACCACACATGGAACAGTGCAACACGATTGTAAAGAAAAAACACAGCCCTACCCATTTTCTATTATTGGCTGCCGTAGCACATGCTTAAATGCAGGTCGAATATCTGGAGAACTATCTGGTGTTTGATCAGCTGGTGGCTGCACAAATGCTGAATCCAGTAATAACTCAATCAGGCGACTTCCCAACTGTATACATGAAATGAGTGTTAGGATTAGAAATTTAGAATGTGAGTGACAAGGCTCGTGTTTCTGTTTGCACTGTACAAAAAACGAACCTTCACTTGGGCTTCTGTGCCCCATTCCTCCAATTCCAACTCCTGTTGAACTAGCTTCTGTGCTTCACTCATCTTCTGCCTCTTAACTAAACTCTTAACACGTTTACGGCATTTAGCTTGCTCCTTCTCCAATGTTGGATCATTTTCACCTTGGTCTTTCTTCTTCCTACTTTTCTGAAAGAATGACTGGACTTTGAACTGTAAAGAAAGGAAGGGGAAACACCAGCTTTCAGTGGACTACCAAATCAATTTCCAACGGGGAACACTAAAAGGAATCAGAATGAGCTGAAAAGTAAGGAACCAAAAATAGCATTAAGTTACTTCCAAATTTGATGTAATCAAATTTCAGAACTCTACAAAAAAAAATACGGAAGCTGCACTCTAGTGCACAAGATGGGTAACTGATTCTACAAGAAGACAAATTTTAAATCTCACTTTAATAGTTCCAAACTTGTAACTCTCCACTGCTTTGTGATGTACAGACACATATATTGTCAAGTAAGCTATAAAATTGCCATTATCATTCAGTGATCAAACTTACAGGCTACAGGGCATGTATGCAGGTTTTTTATGGATAAGTAGGTCAAAATCTCAGATCATTACAACACAATTATAAGATTATATCATTGCACAGTTGAAATCTAAACTGCAGATCTTGCCTAATGCCTTCATCAGTTCCTACAACTTCAATTAGCTCTCCAAGCCTGATTAACCCTCTTGTTTGACTTTGGCACTTAGCAGAACTGTAATCTAAACAGATGGAATCATGTCCACTACCACCAAACATTGCAATCCATCTAGTGTTAGGTTCTCTGAGACTACGAATAATCATTCATCAACCAAAGATATTGTTTGCAGACAATGAGACAATGGCAAGTCCCACATTGCTGTCCACAAGCAGCTCAGGAGTCCTGATCGGCATCAAAATGGTCGAGTATTGCTCCAAACCTCCTAAAATAGCAGCGAACAAGCAACTCACCTCGCGCTCAACAGCCTCACCGATGCAGTGCGCGGCCTGGACAACGCGGACACTGCCAGTACCGTCCTTGCTGGACATGAGCAGGCCCATCATCTTGTGCATGACGATGACGGCCACCTTGTCAGCGGGGAGCAGAAGCAGGTACTTGGCGTAGACGTGCTTGACCCGCTTCCGTCGCTGCACGTCCTGGTCCCTGGCGATGGCGTCCCGCAGCGGCTCGAACCAACCCACGAAGAGCGACTTGACGTAGGGCAGCGCGGGCGCGAGCCTGCGGTCGAGCATCTCGCGCTCGATCTCGCGGTACTCCTCGGCGGCGCGCGCCCAGGCCTCCGTCTCCGCCTTGACCTGCCGCTGCCGCAGCCGCCGGTGCTGCGCCCTCCGCGCCCGCTCCCGCTGCCTCTCCAGCTCCAGCTCCAGTTCCAGCTCCAGCCCCGCCTCCCGCTCCTCCTCCTCCTCGTCCTGCGGCTGCGGGGGGATCTGGTGGTAGGTGTCGGCGGGGGAGTTGAGGAACGCGAATAGGTCGAGCCAGTGGAAGTCGTCCGTGGGCGGGGGCGGGAGAGCCGGAAGGTCGAGCGTTCCCACCGAGGGAAGTATGCGGACGGCGGGAGGCGGCGGAGCGACGGCCGCCATGGGCGGCGGCGGCGACAGGCGGCGGAGCAGCGCCCGCGGCGGCGGCACGCACGCGGAGAAGGGGTAGAGGAGGAGCGGCATGCGCGTCTAGGGTCCCGCTTCGGGTTCCGGCTCCAATGGCGAGGGCCGGATTGGATTGAAGGTGGTAGAGGGGGGAGAGGTGTGGGTAGGAGCTAAGAGGGGGAGCGGGGAGGCGAGAAACCTCGGCAAAACCTTGGAGAGCCGGAGCACACGAGCGAGGCGGAGCCGCGGAGGCGAAGAAGGCGATAAGGGGGAAGGGAAATATCGGAGGTAGGAGACCGTTTCTCCAGACCGCGGCCGTTGGATCGCCTTCGCGTGCTCATATAGGACGGTGAGGCTTCGTGTCAACGAGCTGGCGCTGTTGGTATTGGCTCTCACGAACTAGCGGCGTGTTTATTCGGGGAAAATTGGAATTTGGCTACAGTTGGTATAACACTTTTATTTTTATTTGGTAATTAATGTTTAATCATATACTAATTAGACTCAAAATGTTCGTTTCGTGATTTATAATCAAACTATGCAATTATTTAGTTTTTTTTCACCTATATTTAATGCCCATGCACGTCGCAAAAATTCGATGTGATAGAGAGAAAGTGACTTTTGAAACTTTTTTGCAATCTAAACAAGGCTAAGATAAGAAACTCATATTCCTTCCATTCAAATTACGTTGTCTAAGTTTTAGTCCCTAACTTGAGTTTTGAAAAAATATATGAATATTTGGAATGTAGAGTGGCCCCTAGAATAGAGTACACAAGCAGCATCGGAACCATGTTGGTCACACAAGATTGAGTTAATTAATGGTGTACCGTACCCTGTTTTAGATTTTAGGAACTTCCAAACAAATCATCTCATGACTTTCATATATGCACAAAAGGCCCAGCTGGAAGTCAACAGTGCCACTACAAAATCAAATTTCGTCTTACTCTAAAATAAAATAAAACAAATTTCGTCGCGCATGCAAGCAGCGTGCAGCGTTGAGCAATGAGCAGCACCTTTCTATGACTCCCGTCCCATGGTTCTTCCATCTGGCAGCTGAATGTTACACAGCGACGAGCTACTCTTCCGTTAGTGTTGAGCAGCTTCAGACTTTCGGAGCCTTCTTTCTTTGAGGGCAGGACGATCCAGGCAAACATGCCTCGGCTGAGATTATACAGTCGTAATCAATCGCATGCGCGACCGGTGCCGGATCGACCTGCTTGGGCAAAACGCCTAAACTGTATAGTAATATTTGGTAATTCAGCAGCTACCGACAAAGCATGCGCGACCGGTGCCGGATCGATACAGGCGTGTTCGCTTGAGCTTATCTTATCAACTATGTTACAGGGTTTTTTTCTCACAACAAATTAACAAATAGTATTTTTTAGCCCGGCTTATTAGGGAAGCTCAGTTTTTTTAGCGAAGTCTGCTGCTGCTGAATCTGACATTGAACAGATCGAGTGCAGTTTCAGTGTTTGACTTCCATCCATCCCATATCTGGACGTGGTATTCTGAAACTGCAGTCTTGTTTCAGAAATTCAGAGCAATTGGCGCCATGATTTCGGACAGCAACACCAAGGAACTGTATGTATCCAGTCTGATCCTCCCTGTTTGCTAGGGAACATAAACTGTCCAAAAAGGGTAATGAAGCTCGATTTGCTTGCTTCTGCAGTTCTGCTCCGTTGTTTTTAGTTATTGTTCATTTTCTGTTGTACCCTACTGCAGAAGCAGAAAAAAGCCCGAGAGCTTGACTATCAGGCTACAATTGTTTCTGCGGATTAGCAAACGGTGAAGGAATTAGTGCACAGTTCGATACATGTGCTCTTTGATATTCTCTGATGAGTTTCTATCTTGAGTTTTAGCTTCAGTCTCGTGTCATTAGTCTCTTTCTGAAGTAACTTGTGCTCTGCGACTGCGAGCACTTCTCAATTCTATTGAAAAGCTCCAGTCATAGGCCAGTTTGCTAGATGCAAGTTCAAAGTGCAATTTTCAGACAGTGAAATAAACAGACGATTTGTAATCTCATCACAAACAATAGCTTTCTTTTCCAACCGCATTACTGGTCCGGATTTATACATGAGTACACCCATATATCTTACATCAGTTGCCAATTAGCAACTGCTGCGTCGGCAAACAAATCACCAGCACCCTAGGTGAAGGTGACAAACTGACATCAGATTTCTATGTCGAAAAAAGAATCAGCAAACCAATGACCAATTACACACAGCATGCCACACACCAACCCAAAACAATCATCATCGTCATACGGGACGAGGACACAGAGACGGACGCTACTGGAGAACACAGCCAGGAATGTCCTGAACCAGTGAACCACTACCTGCTACCTACAGCTCATCACAAATGGAGACGAAAAAGTACAGAACTACAGCGAGGTGTGTGTAGTACAGGCCTACCGCCTACGTGTTGGGATTGGGTGGAGTCGTACAAGGCTATCAGGCGAGTATGTCGTAGGGCCGCTCCCCGTCGATGCCCGGCGGCTCCGGCGGCGTCCGGAGGATGACGTAGAGGGAGTACACGATGCCGGGGACGTAGCACAGCACCGTCAGAAGGAGGGAGATGAAGAACTCTGACTGCACACGACAACAACAGCACGGAGAGAGATTTAGATTAATTACGCGCATGCAATGGTGTCGTCGCGGGTGTGTGTGGAGATGAGAAATGCTTACGCTGCAGCAGCCGTAGCGGAAGAAGACGCCGAGCGGCGGGAGGACGACGGCGAAGATGACCTCGAGGCACGTCGAGCAACCGCCGGAGCTCATCCTGCCGGTGCCAGGACTCCGAGGCCTCAGAAGGCCGGAAGCTTAGCTTAGCTTAGGTAGTGCGCCGGCGGCCAGCCGGTGTCTCCGCCAGACATCGGGTGGGCGGTGTTAATTTGTATACGAGGGGGCAACTGGGCAAAGGAATGATGCGGAATCCGACGCTGGCTGCCAGGAGAAGATGCCGATGGTAGCGTTGCATCTCAGGACTCAGGAGCTGCTGGGCCAGAGTCGTGAGCGTGCCGCCACACGCCACACAACACGCATCCGGCCAAGTCAGCGTGGCTACTCCAGATCTTGGCAGGCGGGCGCGGTAAGCCGGTAACGGGTCAGGATCGGATCCGGCAACCTAACGGTCAGCTCGTTGTGTTTTACTGACTTACTCCTATATTCGAGATTATAAGACCTTTTTATTTTTCTAGATATACTATGTCCGTCTATACGTATAGTAAAATCAATATATCTTGAAAATTATATTGTCTTATGGTTTAGAACATAAAGAGTATTTCGTTTTTTTTTTTGTCTACAACTCTATACAGGATGCGACACTTGGGCAGAGCTAGTAAATACAGTTTGGGAAAAAAGATGGCACGGGTCAACATCCCTTCTCCTAGCCTTGGCCTTAGGTTTGTTTAGCCCGGCTCCTTTTATAAGCTTTTGCTTCACACTACAATCTATAGAAGTCAAAGCAGAGGAGCCACGAGCTGTGGCTTCTCCTGGCTCCACATACAGTTATTTTTTTTTTCCTCAAACAAACTAAAATTTAGAGACCTTTAATAAATACTTATAACCAAAACTGGTAATTACTCATAATATTGAGTACTTAACTGATAAATAGTCTTTAGACTAATAAATAGTGATATGTTAGAAAATTCACGAGTATCACAATTTACATCAACTCATGTACGGCTTAGGTGGTGTCATAGGGTGTCACAACTTACTTCTTGATTTTTTAAACTTTTATATCATATATCGCCATGTTCGTTTGGGTTTGTTTGGCTGATAAGCCATGGCTGAAAGTACTGTTAGCTGATTTGGTGTGAAAGAAAAATATTGTTCGTTGGCTGAAAAAATACGACTTATAAGCCAAACAAGCCCAAACAAACAGGCGTATATGAAGTGATAGTACTACTAGGATATGTTTGGTAGAGCTTTCGCTCCGGCCAAAATAGCTTGAGTTTGATTTCTCTGGTAATGCGGTTTTTTTTTTGCTCTAGCTTATCAAGCTAGAAAACATTTGGTATAATCTCTCATGGTTATTGAAAATGATGAAATATATATTTTATTTTCTTTCTTTCTTTATTTTTCTCTTCCTTGTTTCTCTTCTCTCCACCCTATCTGCCTCCAGCCTCCTCCCATGCCCATGTCAGCCTCCTCCTTTCTCCACGCCGGCCTCTGTCCCTCTTCACGTTGGCCCCCGTTGCCCCTTCCCGCGCCGACCTCCTCTCCTTCAGGGGCCAGATGAAGCTTCTTTTTTCAACTCATCCTCTGGTATGTAGCTTCATTTATTATGGTTGGCGATGCTTCTCTAATAAAGTTGTTTTAGATTAGATTTATAAGCGTTTGGTTGAAAAGCCAGTGCGAGACCCACCCGGCGCCGGCCCTGCCATCTCAAAATCTCAAACCGTGGGGATTTTGCAAGCGGGTTAAAGGTTTTTTTTACAACAAGCGGGCTAAAGGGTTGTCGGGGCTCTCCTTAGTTGGGCATCTTGGTGTTGACCGAGCTGGAGCCGTAGCCATGAGCCAATACCATGCTAGCCTTCCACAACAATGCGAATTTCCACTTCAGAATATTCGCAGCCTTTTCCTGGCCGAGAAGAGAACTCGAGATGCCATCTGTGTTATCCGTTCATCTGTGACTTCCTCCTTCCTCATCATATATGAGCCAGCCACCAATAGATGAATCCACATTTATATTATAGGACTATGAGTATTGCACGGCGTTTGTTGGCGGCGTGCACGATTAGTTTTTCTTACGTATATAAGCGTACATGATTACATAAACTCCTGGATAATAAACAAACATATTTCTAGTACAATCGCCTATGTCAGTGGCCAGTGGCACATAAGTTTGCTCGTTGAGCTCGTGGCTGGGCCTCCCTAGCAGCTCGGCCCATGTGCAGCTCTGTGGGTATCGGGGGTTATACCCCACAGCTAGTTCCCGAGCATCTTGTATCCGTCGAGCAATGCTATCTTGAGCTTGTCCGAGCAGTCCAGCTAGTCGTTGGTCGTCAAAAACAAGCGTTCGTCTAGATTGACTGGTAGCCAAGATGTTGAAACAGACGTCCGAGCTGTTGAATACGTCAT